TCTTTGTTATCCCATGGGTTGTGGATGGGTATCAGAATTAACCCGGTGTTTATTTCCATATCAGCATGATCAACAGAAAGCTTCTTAGAGCCTCTGCCCATTTAGTTTTCCAGTGGGTCACCTCAAGGTACAACTCCAAACCCTGGTCACGGATCACTAGCTACAATTTAAATCCCAGAATGTGCTGGAGTAACCTATATAACTTTGGAGGACTTGTTCAGCAAAGGTTTATGTTCTTTCACTTCATCCTGGCCCTTGATAATGATTAGCAATCCTTTGTCCCTCATTTGCTCCCAGGATAGTTTCAAACTTCTCAGAAATATCCCATTCTCTTGCCCTCTGTTCTTACTTCTTTTTTGAGAATACCAAAGTCAACCGGTATAAAGAAACTCTTCTACTTCCGTTTGCATTTTATATTACCTTGATTTCCACACCTATTTTTAAAATATTACTTTAAATTCATTGGAGGAATCAGTCCCTTTTCCTCTCTAAATCTAACCTAGACTACCCTATTCTTGAGCCACATCCTGTGCAACTTTATTCTATATTTATTCCCTTTCTCTTCAATCTCTTGAACTCTCCAGAATCTCTGGCTTTCAACCTAATCTCTCAATCTTAAGAAATTTTATTCTACTACTTCTTCTAAACATTCATCCTCTTTCAGATTTCCCTTTTGATTGTCAAATTCTGCAAACTAGTGTCTCCAATTTTCTCTCTTATGTTCCTACTTCATATTCTGCATGACATCACTACTCTTACAGTTGTGTAAGGCAGAAACTCATAAGTCATCTTTGTTGTTTCCTTCTTCACTTCTCATATTCAGTTAATAAACCTTTTAATTTCATTCCTGTGATAGCTCAGAAATCCATCCCCTTTAATCATCTCTGGTTCAGTTAACCTACCATCAATGAAATGGTTCCAAAATGAGTCTACAATGCACATACTGCCTCTGTCAATACTAGTTGAGTGATATTCACAAAACCCAAACTGACCAGGTTCCTTTCAATGGTTTCCCACTGCTCTAAGGACAAAGACTACTCTTGAAAATGGCCTACAAAGCCCAGAAAAGTCTGGCCAATCCTCACCTATTCATTCTCAGCCTGTCCCAGATGACGTGCTGCACTCCAGCATCACTGGCCTTCCTATCTCGGGGCTTTCACATGTACATTCCTTTTCTCTTCCCACTTTGCCTATTGACATCTTCTCATTCTTCAGTCCTCAGCTCATGCTTCAGGGAAGCTTTCCCTAGCTTCCTTGATTAATCATCCCCCTTTCCCTTATCAGCTCTCACAGCCAAATGGATTCTTTCCTTCTTGGATACTTCTATTTGTTGGCGTGAATATTTGATCACCAAATAACTCTATGTTGTTCAATATTTAATTCTAAATGCTCAGCATAGTACATTGTTAATGAATGACTTAATGGATGGATTTTACCAAACCGTTTTCTAATTTGCTAAATTGTTGCCAATAATATTGTAGCTAAATGCACTGATTATTTCCCATGCATCCCTGCCCCTTACTAGGTAAATTTATGTCATTTGACTGAAATAAATAGCCTTATAAAATTTTGCTTTCAATTATACATCTATTTGTCTATCTAAATGCTGCCTTATTGATAAACCTCACTCCTTCATTGATTTATCTCTTCTTATAATGGTGACGTGCTCAAGGTGTCATGCTTAGCACTTTTTGAGGGTTTTATTTTTTGGTATATTCTAATTGTCTTTCAAAAAATGAATCTATCCTTCAGAGCTCAACTGAATTATGCCTGACACTCTAAAATCCTTATCTCATATCCATAAGACGTAAATCTGTATTTCCAAATGCTTTACAAGACTTTCGTTTATGTTAGTGGAATCAATAATTTCACATTAACTGTTTTAGATTCTTCATTATCTACATGTCCTCCCTCTTTTCCTATATTTATAGCTGTCTCATCCCACTGAGACTTCTTATTGGCTCATTTATCTCCTGTGTTCCAGTCCTATTGGCATGACCTCATATTGTGGACTTATATTCTTGTATATAAGGGTTCATCTTCTTGTCTAAGGCTCAGCGTTATTTTGTCTCTAACATCTTCTCATATCCATCCCTAAAATCTCTTTTTATTCAGATTATCATTCTGTTCACTTAATTATATTGCATTTTCATTTGTGTTAATTAAAATAGATTTCTTCAGATTCATAGTGTTGACCTTGACTCAGAAAATTTATATTTACTACTCACTATTTCAAATACATCACTATTCTTGCCTGCAATATTTATTTCCATGACTTTTGCAGTATACATGTTCTCATGGAGGGTATTACTATGTTTTCCTTTCTACTCATTCAAGTTGCAATATTTCTCAAAGAGTAGGCTCAAATTGTACATTCCTTATGCTGTGTCCAATATAACTATCCATCTTCTTCGGGCTTTTGGCTAACTTACAAACTAAACACAGGCATGGTCAGTTTTAGCTAGGCCAGTTTTACATCATCACTAATGAATTCATAGAGCCAGGATTCCTGGGGAATGCTGCATTGCCTTATACCACGTACACCTTGGGGGAGGAGTTCTGAGACTTAGTATCTGAGCCACACTTCCAGGAGTGATGGGAGAACTCAGGGACTCTCCTGACAACATTTCCCTGCAGTAACCAAACAGAACCAGTAGCCACTGGCAAATAAGCAATTGGAATAGCCATAAAAAGTCATTAAAAGAATTATGTCATCTGATTTAGACAAGATGTTAGGAGGAAATAGGAGACTTTTCTTAAAACCAGGAATAAAACAAGACCTGTGACTTGTTTCATTAGGGAGTCCATTCAATCTGCACAATTGGACATAATATGGGGCATATCTGATATGTACCAATTATATCAATTGATCCCCACTGCAGTCTGAGAACATTCAGTATTCCCCACACTATTATATATGAATATGTTTTCTTCTCTACATTATTAGAAGCTCCTCAATGATATCGATCCTATGGAATAATATTGTTAGATAAGTTTCAACGTTTTCTAAATATATATTTTATGTCTATATAAAATATATCACATGGTCTATTCATACTATGTATATATAAAATACAAATACTTAGGCTATTTAGGCTAGCTAGTCACATTGCGAAGGCAAAAACTTTGTTTTGCAAATTCCCCAAAACTAGTATCTAGCAATTTGGGCTGTAAAAGTGGTAGATAACATAGCTTTTACTGATGATGAAGTGTTATTCTTACAGCAGGTCGAGGTATGGGTTTTTGTGGTTTCTTTGAACCCAGTTTTTTCATTGCATTGTAGTATTTCTTCTGTTCTTCCGTCATAAAAATGTCTTGACCTCCAAAGTAAAGAAATGAAAGCAAAACTTGTAAAAATCATGTTCTTTGCTAGCTATAAAATCCATCTTAGTAATTGTGTGAAAATTAGCCCCACATTCTATTCTCATGTTACTAATTAATACATGTATTTTGGAGATGCATATATTCAATACATAAATTATGCCATATTGGTCAGATTTCTACACTGGAAATATCAATATATGCTATCTGAATTCTCACTTACCGAAAAAACTCATAGATTATTAAGTACCTCAAATAATTTCTGAATTTATATTCTTTCTTTTTGGTGATTGCATTTACAGCCAAAAGGAAACAGTGTGATAAGTTAAGTTCACATTTTAGAGCAAAGATGAAATTTTAGTATACTTATCTTTTTTTTCTGTTGGTTGAAGTTATCTATGATGACACCAATGAAAAGATTGAGAGTGAAGAACGAACCAAAAATAATAAAGATAACAAAATAAAGATACATGTACAGATTGTCTTCATACTTGGGTTGTAATTCTACCTATAAAATATGAAAAATGTTAACTGTTAG